AGGCGGGGTGGTTGCTGTGCTCAGCCGCCGGAGGAGTGCCCTGAAGGGTTCTATCTGTGCTCCTTGTGCTCCCTGGCAGGCGTTCCAGGAGCAGGGAGCGGGAGCGGAGCCGGGAGCGGAGGAGATCCCGCAGCAGGGAGCGCAGGCGCTCCAGGAGCAGGAGCAGAGGGCGGCGGTCCCGCTCCTCCAGCCCCAGCAAGAACAGGAAGGCTGAAAACAGGTATGGGGGGTCTCTGATGAGCATCAGTGTCATCCTGACAACATGTTGGAACACTGCTGGTAGCACGGAGGGACTCGCCAGGCAAAGCTTTGCTCTGGAGAGCAAGGGGGATGTTGTTTGAATGTCTTGCTCTGAGCTTCTCCCGTTTCTTAATGTGTAGAGAAAGTTTCTGTAAAAGGAAAAGATCCAAGTTGTGACAGCTAAAAAGCAGTTAACTTTAAGATTGAATTTCATTCTGAAAGGTTTGTAGTGCTTCCTTGTTCCCTCAGGTTCCAGTATGGGTAAGTCATGTTTTGTTTCTCAGCATGTAGGCCCAAATTAATAAAATCATAGGATTATTAAGGTTGGAAAAGATTTCTGAGATCATCAGGTCCAACTGTCAACCCAACACTCCACGACCACTAAACCATGTGGTGAAGTACCACATCCACATGTTTTTTGAACTCCTTCAGGGATGGTGACTCCCTGTAGTCAAAGCTACCAGAGCTTTCTAGCACAGGCATGACATCAGACCATAACTTTCTTTAAACTTGTAAATTACTGGAGAACAGGAAGTCATTTCCTGTGTCATTTTCTGAGATACAGCACTTGATTCCTTTGGAAACATCCAGGGCTTTTAACAAATGCAGGTAGGGCAGCACCAGGGGCTCTATAAATGGCATCGTGATGACATCTACCACAGGAGTTTCTAAACTGTTGAGAGTGCTACTGATTGGAGCTGAGCTCTGAGGTGTTAAACCACAACAATAGTGTAACATTTCAGAAATCTGCTCTGTTGAAGCCACCACCTGTTTATCTGCTGTTTGTTGGATTCTGTGGGTGCTGCAGTCAGTGTGAAGTTCATCAGCACTGCTTTTAGGGGTTTGCCATTGAATAAACTGTCTTAGGAAATAGACTTAATAAAAAGAGGTGCAGCTTCAACTCTTTTAGATGTTGACTTTAGAAATGTGTAAAAACTTACTACAGGCTGTGTTCTCTTAAATAGATTTTAATGGAATTTTTGGATGCCTTTTTTATCAGAAGCAAGTAAGGGTAATAAAATCTGTGATAAATGGGTTTTGTGTTAAGTGCAAGTCTGGATGTTATATTTGAGTTACTGAAGTAGCTTTTCCCAGGGAGGGGTGTTTTTAGGACTTTCAGCCAATACCTCATGCCCAGGGGTATGTTCAAACTTCTGTGGTGAGGTGCTAGATCACTTGACCTTTCCCTAGAAGTTCAGCAGACAGGAAGTGTTTAGTATCTCTTTCCTAACTGCTGTCTTCAAGGAGGTGTAAAATAAACTGCAGAACCACTAGAGTACCAATTGTTAGTGTTCTGGAAATGAAGTCTGCAGCTTCCCTCTGCAAAAAAAACCTGTGAAGAAGGGATGTAAAGTGGATGAGTCAGTGGATTGCAATGGATTCTGCTTCTCTGGAAGTGAAAGGGAATGTTTCCAAGACATGGAAGGATTCTCTGGGAGGCAGTGTGCTTTGCCAGGTGTTTGTAAACATAAACCTGTCCAGGGTGTTCATAGTTCTGTGTGTATCCTCCCCTGAGAAAAGCTGTGATGGTCTAAGAAGCCTCTGATCTTACCTTCCAGATCAAGATCTAAAGAAAAGACAGATGGTGTGGAAGTTTCCAAAGAGAAGAAAAAAGACAAAGATGACAAAGAAGAAGAGAAGGAAAAAGATCCCACCACAAATACTGTGGCCACTGAGGTAGAAGCTTTTAATGCTTCTAAATTTAGAAGATAAGAATTTAAACCAGGAATTACAGTGCCCATAGATGACTGCATTGACAAAAGAAAACCTGTTTTAGAGCTGGGCAAAATCCCTGCTGAAGGAAAGAGGAAGCCCTTCAGTCACACAGCTGCCTCTCACAGGCTGTGCTTCCAGTTCTGGCCTAAGAAACATTCATCTCAAATTGAGTTTTCAAACTGCTTAGCCCACGGACCACAGACAAGAGTGAAGGATCTCATTTTTCACATACTAAGTGTCAGCAGAGGAGCTGAAAATATTTTTGGCCTCTGGACCCAGGCAGGAATCAAAGAACAGAGGGAGGGGGAAGCTCACTTTGCCTTGTCCCAAGTTGTGCCTGGGTGCCAGAGTTCCCCAAGGAGCAGTTCTGGCTGACTGGTCTAAACCAGCACGTTGCTTCTGACCCTTTGTAACAGCAGCTGAACTGTCAGTGAGGATTCCCCAGGCCTGAGCCAGCCACAGGGTGTTGTGCTGGAAGGACTTTTGGAAGTAGGGGGTAGTGTGATAATTCTTTAGTCTTTTATGGATCACTGGCTAAAGTGAGTTGAAACTCGCTGGTGTAAGTTGCAATTTTTTCCCCTAGTAAATAAAAGAGATTTTAATACACTCTTGTCTTAAAAATCAGATATGAGCTACTATCATGAAAAATAAAATACTAAATGCATTTCTTAATTAAAAATGTTATAGTTGGTGTTAGTATTCTTCTTTTACTTCCATTGTGATAAGTTTGTGGATGTCCAGTCTTCTGCAGCGTGCTCATGCAGCAGTTCCAGGCTAAAGCCAGTGGCCACTGACTGATTGTTTTTTGTCCTAGAATTTTGATCAGAACAAACTGGAAGAAGAAATGAGGAAACGAAAAGAAAGAGTGGAGAAGTGGAGGGAAGAACAACGCAAGAAGGCCATGGAGAACATAGGAGAACTGAAAAAAGAAATTGAAGAGATGAAACAGGGGAAAAAATGGAGTTTAGAAGATGATGATGGTATTTAACTTTTCATATAACGCTTTTCAGAGTGTGACCTATAAAATAGCAAAGCCTAAATCTGGCTGTGGCTTCAAATGATTTAAGATACAACTGAGATTAAACTGGAGAGATTTATATGAGGAAAAATGATACAGTAATAAAACTGGGCTGTAATTATTTGGGTAGACAAATGATTTAACACATGTGAGCACTTCTCTCTTTCCC